AAGTGATTGAAGAGACTCCCAAAGCCAATATCAGGCCTTTGCACATATGTATAAATGAATGCCCCTACATGCCCCCACACATGCAAACATGCATACACACACCATACATACCTATACACAGACACATGCAAAAGGAAAAGGAGGAGGAGGGAACCTAAATGGAGGAGTGCCTCCATCGTACTGTCCTGTGAACAAGTCTGTGGAGCACTTTGTGGTTAATGACTGATGCAGGTGAGTCCAGGCCACTGTGGGTGGTGCTGCCCCTGGGAAGGTGGTCCTGGATGTCCTAAGAAAGCAGATTGAGCAGATTATGGAGAACAATCCAGTAAGCAACGTTGCTCCATGGCCTCTGCTTCCGTTTCTGCTTCCAGATTCCTTCCTCAATTTCTCTCAGTGATGGGCTGTAAATAATAAGATAAAAACAAAGCTCTTCCACCTATAGACCTGGGTGACATGGAGGGAGAAAGGAAAGAAAGTTACCTGGGAGCTTCAGGTGTTGGTGAGACATTTGTAGGCAATAAGCACCCGAGTTGGATTCCAGGGTGAAAAATCTCTATATGGCTTGCAGACTAAAGCTGGAGTTATTTTCCCTCCAATGCCGGGCCATGACCCTTCCTTGCTTTACTATTTTCCTGAATAGTATCAGAGGACCCAGTGTGGTTGACCTGGCACCATGTAATTAGCTGCACAATTAAGTTTTGTGTCCCTGAGCAGCAGGGTCAGATGCTCAAAAAGGAGGTTTAGGGGGCCTGGGTGCCCAGTGCTGATGCCTTCCCTGCTCTGTTTTGCACTTTTGACCTTGACAGCTTCTAGACCTCATGGAAAGCTGGCTTGAGGCTGCTCAAGGCCGTTGCTCTGTGAAGCATTGGATGTGTTTTGAATAATCAAGGGGCACCTTGTAACATAAGATGTCCCTTTAGGAATCTCGTGGCCCTGGGAGGGTCTTCTCCTCTCCTGTCCTCTTAAATCTCTGTCAGTGGGATTATGTGGTTCCCTCAAGGGGATGAAAGCCTTGAGAGTCCTGATTACAGTTATGCTGTGGAGAAGAGATCTTGCAAAATCCTGGTGGAAAACATAATCTGCTCTTTAGAATAGAAAGTGCATAATCTGTTTGTGTACCAAATTGTTCATTTGTTTATCAGATATTTACTGAATGTCTGATGTTTTCTGGATGCTGTTCTAAAGACCCCGTATACTGTGGGACCACATGAGACCTCTATCAGATGGTGCATGCCCTACTTGTCTGTAGCTACTCACAGGAAAGCAGAGTGATGGGGGATATGGGTGCTGGGTAGGACACACATGGAAACATGACCTAGTGATGTACTGTCAGTGCGCCAGAAAGAGGTTTTACAGCAGATGTGGCCAGAGACATCTTAGGATTGTAACCAGGCTTATGGGGGTAGGAGTAGGGATGGCACCAGAGAGGAGGGAGGAAGCAGGAAGCCCCTCTCAGAGAACACACAGAAAATGCCTTCTTGCTCTTTGTGCTGACTGTTAGAGGGGGAAACCCAGGTTTGGGGAAAACACAAATAGGGTGCCAGTTCCAGAACATTAAAACATCCAATCCTTCAACAGATAAGGCATCTTGTTAGGCTTGTGTAGTGACTTTACACATTTCTGTGACATAATACCAGACAAAAGTTACCTAAGAGAGGAAAGGTTTATTTGGGCCCATGGTTTGAGGGTGTAGTCCATCACAGTGGGAAGGCACAGCGGCAGGAACATGAAAGAGCTGGTCATGTCACATCTGCAGCTGGGAGGCAGATGAATGCTGGTGTTCACATCTGCAGCCAGGAAGCAGATGAATACTGGTGTTCAACTTGCTTTCTCGTTTCTAAGCCCATGGAGTGGAGCTGTCCACATTTAGTGTGGGTGTTTCCTCCTCTGTTAAACATTTCTGGAAACGTCCTTTATAGACATGCCCAGAGGTCTACCAGATGTCTATATGAAGTCACATGTGCTTAGATGGTGTCTTCCTCAATTGCTGTCCACTTTACTGAGGTAGGTAGGATTTCTTGGAGAAGGGGGACCTTACCAATTTAATAAGTCTAGCTAGTCAGATTTCCCCAGAGATCTCCTGATGCTACCTTCCCAGTGCTGGGGTTACAGACAGGTCACTATGTTCACCTGGCATTTTCATATGGGTATGGGGGAACTCCAATCCTTACACTTGCAAACATCTTATTCTATGAGCCATCTTCTCAGTTTGCATAGTTTGCTATTTGAAAAATAAATTCACATCCATTAGGCTGTAACCTGTGAAATTATTGTTTGTGTCAGTCCAAATACACATATATTAACAGTTTTATATAGCTGGTCTAAATATAAATGTGAGACTCATCATGCCCTGAGCTTGGTAATGGCACTAGACAGAGGATTTTGCCATTCCATTGTGCAAACTAGGCCCAAATACAGGTGTCTGTCAATCTGATCTGACTTGTAAACTTGTATGCAGCATAACTTCTGTGTTCTCTGACCTCAACTGCAGTGTTAATTAACTCTCAGAAGCAAGGAGGATTGGCACCTTGATGATTGTCCCATAAGCTACATCTGACAAATCCCAGTACTGTCTGAGTTCTTAGCTGTCCCTCACTGCTCCTAACAGATGCCGGTCCAGACTTGAGAGGGCATTGTGCTTAAGGAGTACTTTCATTGGGGGTGTCTCCGAAGCTGAAGCTAGCTGTTGGGTTGATGTCAGTGACATTTCCAAATGACTAGGGTAACCAGGGGTTATTATGTGCCTGCTGCTGATGTGGTCTACAGCAAGGTTGGTGCATCTGTGCTAGTGGCTCCTTGTTCCAAAGCGCTCTAAATGACTTCTATGGGTTGCACAACTTCTTTGTCTGGATTTTTATGGCAGACAGTAAGAGAAACTGTAAAAAATACCATGTTGGATTTTTTTAAACCCCACTCCAGGAAGGATATGTTTCCCAAAGAGAAATGAAACGTATTTGTGTTGTTCATCAGTGGCAGGATGGTCTTTACAGGATGCAAGTGTAGTGAAAGGTAGATGCTGCCTCCCATTCTTGGCTTGAGGGTCCAGCTACTCAAATGAGCAAGGCCTGATGTGGTCAGCCCATCCCCTGTCTCTGGAGGACTTGCACCAACTCAGTTTCCAAGTCTCTTCTTCACCCGTAGCTTCACTCCAGGAGAGGGCATGGCCTTCACGTGACTGTGATCACTTATGTGTACTTGTCTCTCATTCTTCCTCATCTTTGGTCAAAGGTCCTTCCATGAGGGGTGTGCTGTTGCATCAGAAATGGTATCATGTATGATGCAAATGTGGGGTTGAGACGGTGTGTGAAAAGGTCACCCTAGTTCCTCTTCGTTCTACTTGGTCTGTCAAGGGAAAACCAGTTGTTTATATGAAGAGATGTTAGTGCCCTTCAACCCTTGCTGACATCTTCTTTAGTAAAAACAAACAAAAAAATGTAAAGGATGGAGGTCAGAGGTCCATATCAGGCATCTTCCGCAATCTCTCTCCACCTTGTATTTTGAGAAGGGATCTCTCACTGATCCTGGTGCTCACTGATTGAGCTAGCCTTGCTGTTCAGCAAACTCCAGGCATCTTCCCATCTCCATCTCTAACCCTGGACTTAAGGCATACACCATAATGCTCAACTCCTTTTTAATATGAGTTTGGGGGATTGGAACTCCTGGCCTCCTGCTTATTTATGCTCTGAAGCTTAAGCTCCTTAGAGGTATTATTATCCCTAGGGAGTGATTTTGTTTGAATTTTACTTATCTATATGCTCAACATTCATGGGTGTCAAGTGACAAGTTTTCCACCTAACACTAGTGACATTGTGCAGTCTCTTTTCCTGTGGAGATATAAACAGATGTTTATTCACCCCAGGTAGGACACCAGCAACCAAAGGAAAAATTTAATTTCCATCCACACTGAGCTTGGTGAACCAAGTTTACTAGGGTTACTCAGAGAAGCACAGGTGACCCAAAGGCAGCTTCATCACTACAAAGTGGTCAGTGTATGGGTGACAATCCACTAAAGCTCTGTCCCTGGAAGTTTGGACACACGTTGCAGACACCTCCACCAAGGATAATATTCTTTTTGTTTCCTTTTTCCTTTTCCTTTTTTCTCCCAAGACAGGGTTTTTCTGTGTAGCCCTGGCTGTCCTGGCACTCTCTCTGTAGACCAGGCTGATCTCAAACTCAGAGATCCACCTGCCTCTGCCTCCTGAGTGCTGGGATTAAATGTGTGTGCCACCATGCTTAGCTGATAATATTCTCTCTCTGCTATAGAAGCTTGGACAGGTCCTGATGTGTCTTATAATCTTGCAGATTCTTGTAATGCTTTGTGAGTTTTGTGAATTTCTTGCCTCCTAGGATGGACTGTTTTAGTCTGGAGGAAATGCCTACCCAACACATTTGTTCTATCTATCATGTGCACATGCATGTGTATATACATATATACTTACCATACGTTTTCTTTGTGTACCACACATGTGTGTGTACATGCATGTGGAGGTCAGAGGTCAATATCATATGTCTTCTGCATCAATAATATCTTCATGTTGTTTTTGAGGCAGGGTATCTCACTGAACCTGGTATTCACTGATTAAGCTGCATTGACTTGTCTAGTGAACACCAGAAATCCTCGCTCCTGTCTCCATCTCCCCAGCTCTGGACTTAAAGGCATGTACCACTGTGCTCAGCTTCTTTTTGGTTGTGAGCCTAGCCTTTAATTGCTAAGCCATCTTTCTATCCTCCTCAGCTTCTCTTTAATGTGGGTTCTGGGAACTGGAATTCCTTCCCACCTGCTTGTGTGGCAAGCGCTTTGCCAACTGAGCCATCTCCCCTAGTCCCTTTACATGTATTTTCTATCCATTGAATTGATTCAAAGAAGAAACAATGGACAATTCAGAATGGCATCATGGGTCCAGAGGTGGGTGGTGGGGTGGTTACCGATGTGCTCTCCGGAGTCTGCAACTCTGGTGTCCCAGGAATCACTAACACCTGCCCTCGGTTCCTCCCAACAGTGACGGAAGGCCGAGGGATCCTGGAGAGCATCCAGCGGTTCTCACTGCTGCCTACCTACCTCCCGGTGACTTACCACATCAACAATGCCGATGTGTCCTTCTTCCTGAAGGAGGCCAACCAGGACATCATGCGCAACTCCAGCCTGCAGTCGCGGGTTGAGTCCTTTCTGATCTACAAGTCCAAGCGACTGCCGGTGCTCAACGCCAGCTACGGGCCCTTCTCACTTGAGCAGGTGGTGCCCCAGGACTTGATGCTGCCTTCCAACCCATTTGGATTCACCAACACATTCTCCCTTAACTGGAGGCTGAAGGCCTACATCTTGCAGGAGAAGGTCTACTTGAGCCATCCCAAAGTGCAGGTGCTCTTCCATGTCGTGGGCAGAGACTGGGATGACCACAGGGACGAAAAGCTACCCTGCCTGCGGGTTTTTGCTTTCCAAGAGACCAGGGAGGTTCGGGGCAGCTGCCAGCTAGGCGGAACCCTGGGCCTGTGTGTGGCCCAGCTGGAGATGCTGCCTGACTGGTTCAATCCCCCTATCGTTGTGTCTGGGCGCAGGAGGCCCCCAGAGCAGCTGGAAGGGAGCCCTGTAGAACTGTATTATGCTGTCCAGCCAGGGGATGAGCGAGGGGACTGTGCCAAGGAGGACTCGAGGAAGGGTGGTGGTGCGCCGATGGGTCACAATGACGTTGATGAAACCAGCCCCCCTTTGCACAGAATTGGAAGTGTCTTCCTTCGTGAGACCCCTAGCAGTCCACCTCTGAGGGAACTGCGTTTAGATAGCAACGTGGCCGTTCATTATGTCCCCAAGACTGTGCGACAAGGAGATGTACTCACCTTCCCCATTTCTGTCTCCAGGAACTGCACAGAGGATTACTTCACACTGAGGTGAGCACGTTCCCAAATCTGTCTACAGCAGCCCTGAGGTCCAGCTGGGCTGCTGTGTTATACCTCTAGCATGGAAGTCCTTTCAGATGTTCACATGCTATGTTCTCACTATGACATATAAGAGCTAGTTTGATGGTTCTGGTTGCTAATTAATTATGAACATTGTGTATGGGGGAGAGGCTGTACATGTGTATGTCCATGAATATAGAGGTCACCGGTCAACCATGGGTGTCCCTTCTCAGGTGATGCCCACCTTGGTTTTATTTTGGGACAGGGTCTCTCACTATCTGAGAACCTGCTGGTTACACCAGTTGGTTGACCAGTGAGACCCCAGTATCCTTCTCTCTCCACCCTCCAGCAATTGAATCAAGAGACCACACTTGTTCTATGTCTAACTGATTTACATGGATTCTGGGACTCAAACTCAGGACCCCATGTTTTCATGGTGAACACTTTACTACTGACTGAGATATCTCCCCAGATCAGAATATGCTCTTTATTTTTAAGGTTTATTTTATTTGCACATGTGTGTGTGTGTGTGTGTGTGTGTGTGTGTGTGTGTGTGTGTGTGCACATATGAATGTAGTACCTGCAGATGCCAGAGGGGGGGTATCAGATCACCCTGGAACATGAGTTACAGGTAGTTGCTAGCTGACAGATGTGATGGGTTTTAGGAACTGAATTAGGGTACACTGGAAGAGCCAGCAAGTGCTTTGAACTAATGAGTCATCTCATTAGTTTTAATGTTAATGAAACTCCAAGGCTGTCATAGAAGAGCCGGGGGGATGCTGTTAAGATCCCTTGGCCTTTGTGGTGGGTTTATCAACAAGCTTTGGGACAGGGAGCATTCCCTAAATCAGCCACTTCACAATTAGGTCTTTAAACACCTCACTGTTTCAGCAGATCTGCAAATGGTGGCGACAGTTGTCAGGGAGGATGGAGAACGTGGCTCTGCCAACTGAGAAGCTATTCCAGACAGACAGGCTCTAAGTATAAAGTGGTACCAGCCTCAAAGTTATCACTTTGTTTCTCCCTGGAAATAGAATGTGATGTTTAAAAAAGAAATAAAGGAGCGTAATGGGTGGGGAATATATGGTAGGATCTTGGATATCTTATGTAAGGTTGTAGCAAAGAGGAGACTTTTAAAAGAAGCACTTTGCACTTTGGAAAAACACTCTGGAATTTTCTTTGGAACATAATATGTAAGAGGAACTTGCCTTGTGTCAACTGTGATGTAACCAAAGACTTTAGCTTCATTTTAAATGTAGACAAATCTGACTGTAATAGTTAATTAGGACACGCATTGTTTAGTCAGTAGTATCCCAACAGCATGGCATGACTTGGCCTGCTGTGCGACAGATTACTTGTTTTCTTTTTGATTTTTGAATCTATTTTTTTTTATTTTTACTGTGTGTGTATATGAGGTGTGTGTGCACGGGCGTGTGTGTGTGTGTGTGTGTGTACGCGTGTGTATGTGTGTGTGTGTGCACCTCATGAGTGCAATGGCCGCAGAGGCCAGAAGAGGGCATGATATCCCCTGGAACTGCCTGATAGGGGTGCTGCTAGGATCTAAACTCTGGTCCTCTGCAAGAGCATCAAGTGCTCTTAACTGTTGAACCATTTATCTCTCCATCCCCAAACACATTAATTTTATCATGATCCTGTAGCATATGAATGTGACTGCATGTGGGGTACATGCTGCCTGTGGATTCAGGTTCTCATCCAGATTTGTAGCTCCCCTCTCTCTCTCTCTCTCTCTCTCTTTCTCTCTCAGGTTCCTTTTTAGTTTTGACTAATTTGTCTAATGATTGAACTTAGTTCAAACTGGGAGGTAAAAACCTCAGCTACGTGTCCTGTGCATCTGGGGACTAGCTAAAGGGGTGGGGGATGTTGGGGTAGTGGAAAGACATCTGTGGAACTCTGTCCATAACTTGTGCTTCAATGTGTCTGGCAAACAGATTTCACTGCAGCTGGCCAGAAGCCATGATCGGCTAGTGTGTGCTTCAATTCCCAAATTCAGCAGCCTTCCACAGAGTCTTTAAAGAAGTGCTTTGCCTGGAAACCAATGAAAGAGTTGGCTCTGCTATAATTCATACCATCCTCCCTTGAATGCCCATGCTGATCCTTGACTGGTGGTTTGATTCCTGATCCAGGAGTTGGATCTCACTGTCCCCTGGACTTTGGCTTTAGGAAGTGAGCTCAGCTAGCCTTTTCTGGAAGCATCTCTATGTATGTTTTTGTTTCACAAAGGCTTAGGATCCCGTCACCATCTGTAATATAATAAATGTGTCCCCTGTAGTATTGGGTGAGATCAGTTCTCCTAGTTCTCCAATAGAACCAAAAGGCATCCCCTTTGTTGGGCCACACAGCCCACGGGGTTAGGCTTAGGTAGGCCTTTGCACATTCAGAAACAAGCACATTGAACCCTTGTACATTCATTGGCTCTGGTTGTCCATCAATGATTCAGTGGTTTCAGATACAGTGGAAATGTACATTTATTCAGAACCCATTCATTATGAATTTAGTTTAGAATTTTTCATTTTTTTGCAAATTTTTGACATATATTCAATGAAATATATCTACTCTCCATTTCTTCCTTCAACTCCCGCCATATCCCCACAGTATGCTCCATCCCAACTTTGTGTCTTTTTCCTTTATAGCCAACAAGTCCAGTTAATGCCATGTGTACATGCATGGGGGTGGGGTCATCCACCAGAGCATAGGAAACCTACCAATAGGATTATCCTCAAAAAGTAGAATGGTTCTGCCTCTCCTAACAGCTATCAATTACCACGTTGGTGGTGAGCCCTGGAGAGTTCCTCCCTCATCTGTGCTGGGACTTTTAACTGAATTGATCACATACAGGTAATCATAGCTTCTTTGACTTCACAAGTGTAGTAACTGTATTGTGTTCAGAACACAGCATTTCACAGCTCTCCTCCCCATCCTTTGGTTCTTACATCTGTCCTGCCTCTTCTTCTATGATATTCCCTGGACTTGGGTGTATGCTTGCTACACATTTAATATGCTCCAATCTTGAATGGATCTAACCTGTGTAAATAAGTAGACTTGAACCTGGTGGTGTGGTGAGCCTGTCGTTTGAATCTCCATACACAGGGTTAGGCTTATCTGTGCCTGTGACATCAGGGGAGATGCTGTGAAGAATGTATGATGGGCTGGGGCTTCCATTCTGGGTGGAAGAAATTATAAGTACATTTTAACGAGCTCTCTCTCTGTCTCTCTGTCTCTGTCTCTCTCTCTCTCTCGTGTGTGTGTGCGTGCGTGTGTGTGTGTGTGTGTGTGTGTGTGTGTGTGTGTGTGTAGGGGTGCAGGGGGCGATTCTCATTGAGAACAAGAAAGCCCCAGTAGACAGCTTGTTGTGTGATAAAATCTATTCAACCATCCAACCCTGCTGCTCTAGTCTTGAAGCCCACACTGCAGAAGAAAAGCAAAGTGCTTTCATTTTAAGGGCATCCGAGTTCCTTTGAATCTCAGAAAATGTTTTTCTTCCCATGAAGAACTGAAGCACCCACAACGCTTGTTCCCTTTGCTCTGAGATTCCCTTTCCCATCTCCCTCCCCACAGGACGCAGGGTTCAGAAGTCACCAGTGCCCAAATGCCAAGCTGGAGAAGATGAACATGGGGACCCTTTCTCTCCCTCCACACCAGCTGTTCCTTTATGTTTCCCCTATAGAGATGGGATTTCTAAGAAGCCCTGGTCTTCAGGTTGGACTGGGGCTTGAGTTAAATATTTGTTCAATGTCAACGAAGCTCATGTGGAGGACAGAGACCAGAGCTATGAAAGACAGAACTAAGACATATCAGGGATCTTCCTATAATCAGGGCCATAAAAGTTCCCTGAATGAACAAATCACTCTCCATATGAACATTATCAAAGCCACTTAGAGCTTGCAATGGGCTTTGCAGCTGAAGATGCTAGATGCCCAAGAACTCTTTGACAACCTTGCATCCACCACTTCATGTTTAGGATGCTTTGGGAACTGGAGAAATGGCTCATATAGGAAAGTGCATGCTGTGTGAACACGAAGGACTGAGTCAGATCCCCAGCACCCACAAAAACATGCCATACATGGTGGTGTGTGGTTCAGTGGCCAGCCAATTTAGCTGAATCAGCACGCTTCACATTTCGTGAGAGGGACCTTCTCAATAAGGTGGTTGGCTCCCGAGGGACAACACGGGAGGGTGACCTCTTGCCTTCACGTGCACAGATACTCATAAGCATGCTCATCCCCCACAAACATGCAGGCTTGCACACATATGCATAAATGTTAATTAAAACTAAAACATCAAAGCTGCTTTGGTTTAAGCCTTCTCAGGGGATTTTTTTGCTAAAAAAAGACCTATAAAAGAGAGAGCAAAGGTATAGAAAAAGAATATTTGACTTGTGTTTGGCTAGTCAGGATTGAGATGGGCCTGGGAATGCCCTTCAGGTTGTGTATTAGTCAGGGTTCTCTAGAGGAACATATATATGGGATTTATTAGAGTTGTTTACAGGCTGTGGTCCAGATAATCCAGTGAAAGGTCTAAGAACCCAGTAGTTGTTCAATCCATGAGGCTGGTCTTCTGACTTCAAATGATTTAATTAAGAAGAAAAGAAAAAGAAAAAAGAAACTCCCTCACAGGTCTACCCAGTTGCTCAGGTTGTGGTTAATTCCAGATGTACTCAAGCTGGAAGCCAAGGACAGCCATCACAGGTGGCAAGCTGCTTTGCAGAGGACTTGGGACTTGTGAAAATGATGAGTTGGTCTGTAGTGGGCCTTGAGCTTCCTTCGGTCCCCCGGGGCTCCTGTGAGTTGATCTCCACCTGGCAGGGTGTGCCTCAGTCTAGTTTGGGGTGGGGGAAGCAAATTTGAATCCCGGAATATTTCTAGTTGTAGGCTACACATCCCACCATGGCTAGCTTAACAAATGTCTTCCTGGGTGGTTACTGAGGAACTCAAGGATTAGTAACTGAGGAAGGGTGTTGACAGAGTGGAGAG